CAAATAGATAAATCATAAAAAACATGTCACTGTTTTTTAGTGCTTGACTGATGAAGGTCTAAAAACAGAACTTTCTGCTTAAATGGGAATTTGGTTGCGCATAAGAAGAAGAACCTGATTTGAACTTATAATGTCTTCAATAGCACTGATAGCTTACATCGCCTAGACCCCCAATCACGATTGGCCGCGAAATATGCAGATCGAGAGTTGGTCGGTGCAATGAGGCGTGGAATTAGCAACATTCATTCCCGTTGCTCCTGACAAAGTTAGGAAAAAATGCGCTATCGTTGGTTGGAGCGCTCAGCTGCCCATGCCTGAAACAAGTGTAAGCAATGGCGTTAGATCCCATTTTTGAGCCACTTTGTGAATCCATGTCTGCGCACAGCTCATCAGGTGACTGAAATGTTTAAGCAACCTTCTGATATTGCCAGCATCGTATCTAGGCCGTAATTGGTGAGGGCTGGAAATAATAAAACTTCATGTTCTCATCAGGTTCATGAGATAAAATTGTTGAGCTTACTTCCATCTCGAGTAAAAGTGCTTGGGGAAGAGATTCGAAGGCCGATACCATCAGAAGATGACGGAGGATTCCTCTTGACCTACTGTCGATTGGCTTTGCTGAACAATCTAGTTGACGCTGTTTCCGAGGTAATTTCCTTCGATTTCGATGAAAACCTGCTAAGCTTTAATCCGTCATATGATGGGCATCATCAAAACAGGCTAGCATCCTTACAGCCATATTGAAGAACTCGTTAGCCTGTTCTGATGCGGTCTGTCATACGACGGACGAAAGTTTAAAACGTAGAAGAAGACTGCCTCCGAAAAAACGTCAACAAGAATGTTCCAGTAAAGCCAATCGACAGCTGGTCATCGTCTTCTGGTGGAATCGACCTTCGAATCTATTCAACAAACACTTTCACTCGAAATGGAAGTAAGCTCAACAATTAAGAAGCAAGAGGTCCCACGAAACACAAATTTTCTTCGCCAATATCCTGAAATATATACCCAATACAGGAGCACTGATCCGAGCTACCCCCTTCAGCTACACAAGAGGCGGGCCAAAAACCTGCATTGTATAACTTCCAGTCCTCGCTCTGAAGCGTCAAACAAGGTCTTCTGATTACCCGCGTACCAGAAGCTCATCTCTTGCACCATCCTTTCTGGCAAATCTCCAGCCTCGGTAACTGTGAGGATAGGACGTCCAAATGCCTAGACTGCCTCTCAATGGTTTTCGATTAAAGTAAATGAATCGTCTTTAATGAGACAGTCGTTCCGGCCAGTCATGATTGGGAGCCCAGACGATGCAAGTTGTCAAAAGTGTGGCAGGCAATTCGAGTAGAAAGCAGATTCTTTCGTGATTCACTACCAAATTTCCACTGAGGAAGGCGGTATCTGGTCCCAGAGCGGAAAGAGTAAAAAACAGGCAGCCATGAAAGGGAGCGATGAACAAGCGCTAAATTTCAGATCTCCTTCAGAAGCATGGTGGGTTTAAGTCGTCATCAGCAAGCATCTGAAGTATGTGATAAGCAGAAAGATGGGAGTTGGATACGTAAGCTCATGCATGCAAATAAAGAGGCATATTTGCACAACACGCATATATATACACAAGCTTCCATACGGACAGGGAAAGCCAAAAGTATGGATGCATAAGAATGCATAAATGTATGGTTGTATGCATAAACAGATAATCCACAGAGTTGTCGGTTTTATCAGCATTGCCGGCTATCAAAAAGCTGTACCACTCTATCGCAATTCAAAATATCGTTCACTTGTTGGATCGTAATAGCAGTCCAATACAGGATCGTAAAGAAGCTCTACGAGCTCATCAGCCTCCTGTTCTTCCTCGACTTTTTCTTCATCATCAGTATCTCGAAGATTGCTATGACTCTTCGGTTTTTCATGAAGAGAAACAGGGTTCGTGAATTCATTTTTTTCTGACGAATTGTACATCCTTCCCCTTTGTCTCAGAGTAATTTCGTCGCTTTCGTGCTTCGCCCGAACTTTACGCTGATTGATTCCACCCATAGTCGATCTGTGCCCTGTTTGTTTCACTCCAAAGTATGAACTCCGGCAAATAGGCGACGGAAGCTGAAGGGATTCTGATCTTTTATCTGGAAGATCACCCCCTCCAATAATCCGTGATTTATCCAACAGAGCATTACTAATGGTTGTATTAGAGCTAAAAGTGCTGGTTGGCAAGGCGCTGGGCAGAAGGGCAGGGGGAAATTGGGATTGTGCGGATTGGCCCTTCCGAGATGCAGACTTCACTGAACTGTCAGAGGTTTGGCGAGGAAGAGAGCTGTTGCGTTGATTAGGATAAGGATAAAGACAAGATAAGGCGAGGAAAATATAAAACGAAAAAGGCGTAAAAATAAAACTTCATTTATGTACGGGGTAATTTTAAAGTTATGAAGATAGTTACGAAACAAACAACTGCAAACTTTTGTGCCTTGCTCCCTATCTCTAAGTCGCTTGCGTAACTGATACCACACATTTTAGTTAAGATATCAGGATGTAATTTCAATTGGCTCAGAAATTAATACTTATTTATTTACACTCAGATCAGCCACCTTCCTGTCAAATCCACCATTCTATAAAGTTGACTCGTAATTGACTACTTTGGCGCCTTGTTGACTCACCAAATAATAATATTATCTTTGTGAATGGCTTGATTGACAATGACGTATTTGGAGTTGACGAGAACTCAAAAGAACGTAACCTTACAGTGCACAGCTTGACCAGGACTAGTTTAGGTGAAAGTTTTAATGAGATGTATTCATCCTATTTCTTTCAAGATGAAGAATGACTCGTATTAGAATTTCCCCACAATGAAATAAGTAAAGCTGACGTTTCTATTGAATTTCACACAGGCTTGCTTTCCCAAAAGTTGTTTTCATCCAGAGTGGACTGCAGTTTCGACCTCGCATAAGTCTTATCAACATCTCCAGCGGGAGTCGAACCGTGACAGTGCAGCATGTAAACTTGACAGGTTAATCACTCGGCTACACTGCCACGAGTACCCTTGGGTCACAAGGCAGATGTGAATTTCAAGCAAGGCCGGGCTTTTTCGATATCACATTCTTTGGTGGGATTGCCGATGAAGCAAACGTATTTTTACTATAAAAATCGACTACATTACTTATTTTTCGTATATAAATTGAGTTTCGAGACTTCCGGTAAATCAATTCTATGAGATGTTTAAGGTGAATACACATCAGGATAGCTTCAACCAACTTTTGGTCAACCTAATCCAAAGAAAATTTGGGTTTCGAGGAGTTTCTTGTTTCGTAATTGTTGGGCTTATTTCCATTTCGAATACAAGTATTTGGTGAAGAGATTCGAAGGTCGATTCCGCCAGAAGACAACGGCAGATTCCTCTTGACCAGCTGTCGATTGGCTTTACTGGAACATTCATGATGATGCTGTTTCCAAGGTAATCTCCTTCGACTCCGGTAAAAACATGCTAAGCTATCGTGCGTCATATTACGAACACCAGCAGAGCAAAGTAACATCCTTACAATCAAATTCAAGGTAACGAGTCAAGAAAACTCACCGGCTCATCCCTAAAAAGCTGTATCTGGCATCTTTGATGAGGTATAAAGTGATTTGGTTAGTTCCAGTGGGTGAATTTTCTTGTCTCGTTAGCTTGAATTTAGTTGTAAGGTTGAGACCTTGTTCTGGTGATGTTCGTCCTTTGACGGACGAAAGGTTAGCACCTTTTCGCCGGAATCGAAGAAGATTACCTCGGAAACAGCGTCAACATGAATGTTCCAGTAAAGCCAATCGACAGCTGGTGAAAAGTTATCCGCCGTCGTCTTTTGGTGGAATCGACCTTCGAATCTCTTCACCAAACACTTTCACTCGAAATGGAAGTAAGCTTAACAACCTTATTCAAATTTGACGAGTTCACTTAGACATTTTTATGTCCATATGTAAAACTAATAATTATTCAGTAGGTCGTCATCCTCATTCTTGTTTTAACCCAGGTGTATCTTTAATGAGTCTTAGTTTTATTTGATTAGACACCAACAATAATTTAGCCTGCGTATAATTACTACCATGATAATCCCATTTAAGCTTAAAGGCCGTATAATAAGGAAGGATTCTAGCTTTTAACTGAAATAACTCTCTGATAAATTATTTATTAATCTATTCTAGGCCTTTAGAACAGCCTATTACAGAGCAGCAAGGATTTAACATAAGGCCCATCAAATCAGCCCCCTATATTGGATTGGCTAATCCTATGAAAGAAGGAACTAGAAAAGAGATGTGCTATTACGTATAGCATTATTTATATGTGCGAAACCTTGATAAATCACCTGACAGAGAAGGACCCTTTGTGGAAAGACGACTTGTGTAGCATGGTTCAACGTCATCCAATTATTATTATTGCTGAAAATGATTGTACATAATCCAAACAGCGATTAACTTGAAGTCTTCATTGGGGGCAGAAAATATTAAAAATTAACTTCCTACCGAAATTTAAATGTCCGGAAATTTTACTTTATATAAAAGCAAAATAGTAAATTTCAGTAACTTTGAATATTAAAAAAAACAGTAATTAAACCTCAAACTCTACATGCTTCTACGACAATCAACTTTCGATACTCAACTGATTGGCTACGTCGAAAAAATGCGTATAAGGCTATGTAGGAAAATCAAATTGAGAAAAATATTAATACAAGATTGATACAAAA